TATAGTATGCTAGCAATTGTCCTAAAACTTCATTATACTAGATGTTATTTACCAAGATAGATTTTATCTGCTCATCTCAGTTACTAGGATCTAATGAGCTGAGAAATGTTTGGTGCCATTTGTTATTTGAGGTTTTAGTGTAATTTTGAGGGTTGTGTATTAAGGTACAAAACTATGCTAAAATTTTCAAAATGGTGGTGAATTTTAGACATTTTGTAGTTTATATAAGAAAAATAATGCATTTCATCAACAAATAGCTTGGAAATGCAATCTACAGGTAGATGTATACTCAAACATGATTTTATTAGATTGTACAAATTAACTGAGCTCTTGATGATCAAAAATTAAACTCTGGAAAACTTACTGGTCAAACCATTTTATAACCTGTAAAGAAAGTGCACTTTACATGCAATCAGTCTCTAATTCTCATCATCCTCATCTAGTTAGTAATCGGTTGTATCGTTACAATCATTACATTTGCATATTGATGTTTTTGATACACAAGAATTTGCAGTTAGCATTTAACTGGCATGATAATATTATTGTTTTCCTCTCAGCCATTTTCAGTGATTTGTGAAATATTAGGTGCAGATTATAAGTTTCATAGGACCAGGATTCTTTACAGTAGGTACCTGTGACGTTTTTCTGATAAATGTCAACAAAAAACAATCCACTTGTTTTAAAATAATATATTCAAAACAAGTCAAACGTATATACAAATGTTCATTACACAGTTAACCACCACATTTGTATCCACAGCTTTAAGTAACTATCTATTTCATTCACAGTTCACACAGGCTGGTTCAGTTACTTTAGAACCCCATTGACAAGATGAATTATTATTCTATACTCTGTTATTACAATACAGTCTGTGATTATTACATTTTAAAAGTCACTACTATACACTCTTTATGGCTAAACTTACAAACACACTGTAGATCTCTTTGATTATATCTTTAATTTTGTCTTACTGTCACTTTCACTAACATATGCTTTTGCACTAACTTTGTCACCTACATATGTATATTGCCCGACTGAGGCCTAGTACTTTCTTCAAACTACAAGATGTTATGATGCAACAATACACACTTAAAGCAAGGAGAAAAATTCAGAAGATTCGAGTAACATGATGTCAATTCACAACAGCTGAAATAAGCAGCAAATGATTCGTAAAGAGTTATGTAAGGAAACTTGCCAGAACTATCACTTCTAAAAATAACTTACTTTAATGCTCATACAGTATTAACCAAAAAATACTCTTGTATTATACTTAAAATGAACAGTCATGTTTATCTAACACAGGCTGATTATATCCTTTGGAGATCAGTGCAAGGATTAGTCTGAAATAAATCATCAACCATATTTTCTTCAAAATTTACCTCCCCAGTATGCTCCAAAAACATGTGGATTCCAAGTAAACTTTATAAGAGCTTTTCAGTTCCAATTGCAGAGAACCTCTTGTATATGTTGATTTTTCTTGCGTTAGTTCCTTTACTGGTAGCAAAGAAAAACTTTCTTATAGAGTATTGGGTATATAGATTTATCAGTAAACACCAATTTATTGGACTCTTAATTGAATCAAGCTAAAGAGTTAGTCTGATAGAGGGTGTCCTTTCTTTGATGGAACAACATTATTTGTAACCAAAGCTTCAATAAATCTAATACTGGCACCTCAGCTTTCCACTATGTACTACATCTGCATAACACTTCCAGTGATATACAGATTCAGAGTTTCGCACTGACAGAGAATCTATTCTATCACATAGAATAGCATATTCTCATTTCACCATACAAAGTGCATTTTTTTAGCATAATCCTTCAACTTTTGTAAGTTTTCCTCAAGTCGCCACCTTAACTTAGGCATATGATACAAATATTCTGATTAAGCTCCATTCAGAATGTTTAAGTTTGGTTTATATTTGACTTAATGGACATGAACAACCAACAGGAATGCCCAGCATCAGAAATCTGAAAAGAATGGTTACATATTTAACAGATATATTCAAACTGAAGATTCATTCAAGTGATCAAAGGAATTGAATTGAATGACAAGAAACAGGAAAGTGAGTAAAAGCATGATGAATGGAAACCTTCAATGATATTCAAAAATGCAGATACCTGAAGACATTTTACATTTCAAGAAAGTCAACAGAATGGATCAAAATTTTACTTTACCATGATAAGACTAGGTCATCTTGATTTATAAGCCCATTTCTTCATATTGATGGTGATCCATACACATAACACAGCTGTTTAGATCTGTTGGCATTACCAGTTTGTATTCAAAAATATATTTGAGTGAAATGAATGGAACATACTTTTGTTTAGCAATTTTGTTCACATTCAATGGGTTCTTTTTTCCAGTGCCACATGGTGCAAATGGAGTTCTCCATGTGGAGCAGAATGAATGACACTTCATGTACAGTATTACAAACTGCATCTAATGTCTAAAGACTATTTTTGTTGTAAAGAAATAATGCAAATATAAGGAAAATGCACCTTGAAATTCTAGGATATATAAAAAGTTGCCTCAAAAAATTTCTTAGTCTGCAGAATACCTGCAGATTACATGTTAACTTTCAATACTATTCTTTAAAACTAAGGTTAGTGCTAGGACAAGGGGAGGGGCATTTTTGGGTAATATTTTCAGAAAAATCTCAAAGAATTTCCCTAAGGAAGAGCTGCAATTCTCCATCCCACCCTCTCTGGTGTCACCCCTGAACTATCTAGGCAATATGTAAACTTTCTAATATAATGCCTTTATGTTAACAAACTGAAACAAGAGTTAAAAACAAACTTGGAATCAAAATAGCACAAAAGTATTTGCAAGATATTAAAAAATATATGTATTTTTTAAAAGGTAAAAAATTTCATTGAAAAATTAAAAAAAAAATGGCACCAAAGTATTTTCCATCACTTGAGGCTTGAAGAAGCCAAAAAAAAAACACAAATCAAACCACAAAAATTCACTCATATGTGCTACTTTCTATAGCAAGGTTTGATCACAAAAACTAGCTGCTATTTCATGGGATGGATATATTATGTCATAGTTTTACCATGCGTTTGTGGAGCTAATCCTAGAACTGTTATATGGAGTATAGTTTCTTCAGATTATTGTGATCTAACGTTCTGATAGGTCATCTACAGACAAAGTATGAACTGCAAATTTAGATTTGATGTTTTCAAACAAATTTATTTCTAACTTGCTTGTGAAGTTATATCATCAGTTTCTGTACCTTTCCTGACCTGAGGTTAATGTGTTTTCAACTATATAGCTGGCAGTTACAGTTTATTTACCTCATCCTTCTCACTTTTATGTAATTAAATGCAGTTTCCTTAATTTACTTTTGTATACAAATAATTTCATTTTTAGCTCCATCCTTCACTCACATTATTAACTAGCCTGTGCTTCATTTTTCAGCTTTCTCATTAATTATAGAGTTTATATTTTTATTTCAACCCCATATCATGTCCCATTTCTTCATTCCACCTGTAATAAATTGCTACACCCTTCCTACTGAATACTAGTTCCACAAATCTCCAGGTATTGCAAAGATCAGGCTACTAATCGTATGCTAGGTTTATCCTTGAGTTACCATAGCTGCATTTAAATCATCTCCTCTGTACTCAATAATCGAAAGTGGCATTGGATGTCTTTTATGTTTGCTCTAGGAGTTAGGATAGATGTAAGCAAGTTTTTAAAGATTACATTATTGAAAGATATTATTGACGTTGTTCATGAGTTTAGCTGGTAATTTTAGTGAAGATGCACAATAATTTTAGTTTTGACAAGTCTGGTCTGCAGCCATATGTGGGTATAATATAATCAGAAAAGAAAAAGGAATATTTTAAAAGTTGACACAATGCTGAAGGGCCCATATGCTGTTCATAATTGCATTTTGTTAATCTGTAGAAATGGTCAAAGGAGGTGGGAATTATTCAAAGAATTAATCAGCAATTAAAAAAATCATATCCAATGAGACTAATAATAACAAATGAGGTTCTGATCTTCCAAGACTTCATCAGAAGGAGATGAAGTGAACTAAAACTATCAGTACCAAATATATATATACTTTTATAGATCAAAATTCTGATGATAAAGTGGCCAAAGTTGTCTTAATCATGATAATTCTTTCACCCTATTACAGGGGTTGCAGACAGAGAAGATTAAGTAACAAATCTGGTTTATAGGAAGATTATAGAATTATAGTTCATAACAGTTGTGAAAAATTATTCAAGAGACTTCATAGTTTAGGGATCAGATTAGTGGTATTTTACCAAGTCTGCAATTTATAATAAATGAGTTGTAACAATTTAGCTATTTGTATGTCTCCAAAAAATTATCAAGTTCTTATTTCTCAATATGTCTTTGAGTCATCTGTTATTCCAACAAATAATACATTTCAAAACCATATAAATGACAATTAGCATTGTTAATAAACACAAGTAAAAACTGCCCAACTTTAGTTAAACAAAATAATTGTAACTTATACGTCTCCTTATGTAAACAAATATCTTAAAATTAAGTGAATATGTTGAACGTCACTAAGAAATAGTTATTTTTAGATATTAAAGCTTATCAAAGTTGCAGCAAATGTAATCTGCATATGTAGATTTAAAGTAACATTAAGGGTAGTAGGGCTCCAAAAAATTATTATATCTCCTGATTTGAACTTTCAAAAGTCAAAGTCAAATTTATAGCATGTTAATGAAGGAATATGGGTTATAAAACTGTTTTTTAGTGTTGATATTAATAGATTATATCTATATTGGAAATAAATGCTATCAGCTTGCACCGAACAATGAAATTTCTATCATACCCACCATGGGTTGTAGTTTGTAGTGCAAGTTTTTCTAAAATACTTGATCAATCTGAAAACTAGATGATTTAAAAAAATGAAATGTTTAAATATGAAGCACACCATCACTAACATTCAGTTGTTTTTGATTCAGCTATGAGGTATTAATATTTAAAGCTAAAGTCCTCAATTTATTTCCAGGTTCTGCCACATGATCCAGAAGCTAGAAGATTGTTTGTCACAAGTGGTGGTTTGAAGAAGGTCCAATTGATCAAGGCTGAACCGGGATCTTTACTTCAGGAACACATCCATGCTGTGAACAGCTGCTTTCCAGAAGAGATTGTTAGGTATTTTTTCCTCTTGTATCTATGTAAGAAACATAATAACATTAAATGAAAACTAGAGATTAAACCATCCAGACTTTCTAGAACTTAATAGACTTGCTGAATCAAAATCATTCCAAAATGTTTGCAGTTTATCCTGAATACGTATGTAATGTAATAAATATTAAATAGCAGTGTAAGACATACAGAACACAATCAGTGAATTTAATGAAAAATATTTTACTGCAGACATAAAGGCAATTGAACCAATCATATATTTACATACCTTCTATTGAGTATTATGTGACATTTTAAACATTTTTATTTGAACAACTTGAGTAATGTCTGTTAAGTTGATATTACACATATATTCCTTCAGTCAAATGCATTTAAAACAAGATATTCTCATACAAATAATCAATTTTAAGAAATTCATCATTATTGCCACCTGACACTATTTAACCCATTGATTGCTGATTTGCCACAGTTGAATGTGAGTCTACTATATATGGTGTATGGCTTGCAAACATTGCACACATGTTTACAGTCAATGGGTTAAATGTCAGAACCACTAATATATTTTTTCATAAGATTATAATGATAGTAAATTTTTCGAACTCTAACTCGTCTAGGTATTACTCTCCTGGTTATCCTGAAGAATTACTTCAACGTGTGGAAAACTATCAACCTAATTTAGTGACAAACGTTTTAGAACCTACAGTTAATGATGAGGATGGTCACAAAATTAGATAAAATATAGATGTTACCTTTTTTTGTACCTACATTCATACTGTATTTTTTCACAATCTTTATCTAAATTGTAGATGTTATGACTACAGAAAACCTTTGAAATGGGTATTTTGTAAACATGTTTTTCATTTCCTTATAAAATATATATATATATATAGAGTCTTAACCTAAAAAATACAAAACATAAAAAGTAAAAATTGATACTTATGACCATATATATATATATATCAGTACATTATTCCTTTTTTAATTTTGTTTTAATATTAAAATACTTAGAAGCAAAATACACAAAAATTTCTGTAGTTCTTATACATACTAAAAAGTACACCTTTTTTCTTAGTTTATTTTCATTGATCCATGCATCCTTATTATTTGGTGTTATAGTTAGTAAGGGATTGAATAACATTTTGATATCTTATTCAACCCTATCTGCATGTGTAGGGGTCAAATTACACATGCCATGACCTTTTACAGAGTGCCATTCAACATGGTATTATGTATTTGATGTCAGAGTTTTCATTTATTCTACACTGTTGATTTAGCCACAGTTCTTAGTAGAGGAGAGTAAATACCAGATACAGTATACAGGGATACTGTAAAAACATATATAGATACACATTTTCGAGGTTCTAGACATTAGGCAAATACAACATGCAAACTGTAAGATGAACAAAAGCATTTTTATTTTTCACACAAACATCATCTTTCACTCTGACTTGTCAAAGCCTGAGTCAGATTGATGTCCAGTATTCACAAACAAATCTTCAATACAATACTTGTACACATTTGATTTGTTGTGTACAACAAACTTGTGCATTTTAATAAAAGCTTGCCACATTTCATATAGATACCCATAGTAAATTTGGAATTAAAGTCAACATTCTTTTTCTAATACAAGGTGAGTACATTGGACCAATCCTATGCACATTCAGGTAGATAGTAAAATAACTTCATTCATTTACTATTTAATTTTCATACATAACAGTTGGCTCAAATTTTTAATCAAGAAGCAGTCATAACTTTGTTACTATGAAACATTAAAAATTTGCAGATTAACAGAATGTCATTATAATCATTCAATTTACAGAATCTAATAAATATACAAAACAAATTAAACCCCAAGAAATCAAATTCCATGGTTCACACATTATTGACTCATGAAAATTTGAGAACCACACTTTGGAGTTGTGGGTATATTATAAGAGTGATGGGCAAATCTCAAATCCCATTATTCGATTAGACTAGTCCACAAATTGGCATTAGGTGGTGAGACTACTTCAGTAGCTGCCTTCCCTCTAGTCTATCACTTCAAAATTATGAATGACTAGCACAGAGAGCCCTCAAGTAGCTTTGCACCAAAATCAACAAATTAAAAAAAAACTTTATTGCAACAAATTCGTTTTTTTTTTCATTTTCCTATTTCTTATTTTTTTAAATGTAACTTTCTAATTACAATTTTACATTATGGAGGTCAACATCATCACTCACAGGTTTGAAGCATTGAAAGAGCCAAAAGGATACTATCAACATTCCTAAAAGTTATTGTCAGGTTTTTAAGTATGGATGTATGGCCTGGATTCTGTGACTTATTGGTGATAAATTTCAATAATAAACAAACAGCACACAGTCCACTTGTTTTAAAATAATATAATAAAACATGTCAAACATATATACAAATGTTTGTTACACAGTTGTATCCAGAGCTTTAAATAATAGTCTCTATTCATCACAGTCCACTATTTCAGTTATGTTAGAACACAATTGACAAGACAAATTATTCTCTTCTGCTCTGTTGTTACAATACAATTGGTGATAATTTTACTTTAAAATAATGCGTTCTTTATGGCTAAGTTCACAAACACACAGTTTAGATCTATCTCTATTTAACTAACTCTCCCAAAATATATTTTGAGATTTAGAACATTCTACACACTACAAAATATCATGATGTAATAATACTAAATTAAAATGAGAAAACTTAGAAGGTTCTAGTAACATGATGCAGTACAACAAGTGCCAATTCACAACAATTGAACTACACAACTATAATTTCTATAAATAAAACTACTATAAACTATTGCTTCTAAAAATAAATAATTTAACACACATGCTATACTTGAACAGAAACAGTTGTGTGTATCTAACATTAAAGAAGAATCTGGTTTTTTCAAGGACTATAGTAACAAACTGCTATCACAAGGCATAATAATATATATTGCAGTAATACCATATTATTAAGCATTTTATTAGCTGTTTAAGTGAAGATCAAATGATGAACAAAAATAATATATACAAAAGTTACAAATTTGTTTTGAGATTAGGAAGCATATATTTAGAAAAATTATTACTTTTGATACACGTGACTGTTTCATTTCATTTTAAAGTTTAATATGAATGTTATGATTTAGATTGTTTACATAGCACAAGTGTTAAATTTAGTTATTTTTAGAACCAACAATTTATCCACAGTTATATATGATACATAACTGCATGAATCATATGTTGTGTAGTTCAATTGTTATGAATTGGTGCCTGTATTTTTGCATCATGTTACTAGAACTGTATAAGTTTTTCTCACCATTTTAATTTAGTATTATTGCATCATAATATTTTGTAGTGAGTATAATGTTCTAGGCCTTAGTCGGGCTATAAATACTTGTACAAAATGTAGTTCAAGTTAATTTAAACAAGTAAGACAAAGCTAGAAGAGATAGATAGGTCCAGACTATGTGTTTGTGAGTGTAGCTGTAAAGAGAATATAGTGGCTTTTTTTAAAGTGAAATTATCACAGATTGTATTGTAATAACAGAGTAGAGAAGAATAATTCATCTTGTCAATTGTGTTCTAAAATAATTGAACAAACCTGTGTGGACTTTTGACAAAAAAAGAGACAGTTATTGAAAGCTCTGGATACAACTGTGGTAACCAACAGTGTAACATAGCTGAACTTATCACTGATTGTATTGTATTAACAGAGCAGAGAAGAATAATTCATCTTGCCACTGGTGTTCTAAAGTAACTGAAGCTGCTTGTTTGGACTTTGACAAAAATAAATCATTATTTAAAGCTCTGGATACAACTGTGTAAAAACATTTGTATATATTTACATCAATGACATAGATGAAGAAATATTCAATAAATTACTTACATTTGCTGATGATATGAAGGTCTTAGTAGTTGCTAGTTGGGAAATAAATGGCAGATGGGTTTTAATAATAACAAACACAAGATAATGCATGTTGGTTATCAGAATTTGAATTATAAGCATAATTTGGATGGGAATATCCTTAACTGTGTCATGAAAGAAAGGGATCTTGGATCATTCATGCAGTGTGCTGTTGCTAGTGGTAGGACAAATAGGATTTTAGGTTGTATTTAAAGAAATATATATATATATATACGTTTTTGTGGGAAGTGGTATTAAGAGCACATTATAGACTGTAACAGTTAAAGTATTTCTTTTTTCTTTGAGTATAATTGAGTATCATAAATTGTAATAGCTAAGAGTTTTTATTGCATCATAGCCATTACTTTGGTAGTGTGTATGCTACATGGCTAATGCTTATATCTACAAATACAGACTTGGTTATATGCTGCATAGTGTTAATTATATGAGAATATAAATTATAACTTCTCAAAAAAGAAAAAAATAGATGTATCATGTATTTTCTTTATTTTAAACACAAGAGGTTGAAAACATTTAAGTACATTTGTACTTTAAGTACAAAAATCAAAATATTAGGTCTTCAAGAAATTAATGTCAGTTTTTAGATGAAAAAACCCAAACAACTTATATATAAAACAAAACATTTATTAAATGAAATAGTCTCCATTTTTATTGATGATGCTTTTCCATCTTAAAATCAGGTTGTTAATGCTCTGATTAATGAAAACATGTCAATGTCCTCTAACACCTTCCACATTTGCATATGTTTTTCCATTAAGATGATGTTGCAGCGAACGAAAAAGATGGTAATCTGATGGTACCATATCTGGAGAATATGGTGGGTGTGGGAGAACTTCCCAACCCAACTCCATAATCTTGTGTTGCATCAAACGCGCCACATGTGGATGTGCATTGTTGTGGAGAAGAAGAACACCTTTCCGA